TTTTAGCTAGCGCGCCTGCATTGCGTGCCGCTAGCTTAGCACTACGTCTATGGGGAGGGTTGGATATGGTTCAGCATGAGGTAATCGTAACGTTACCTCTAGCTTTTTAGCTAATGCACCTGCATTTTGCACCGCTAGCTTAGCACTACGTCGGTGGGGGGAGGGTTGGGATATGGTTCAGCATGAGGTAATCGTAACATTACCTCTAGCTTTTTAGCTAGTTTTTGATTAAAGGCCAAATTTGTCTAAAGAACCGACTTTAAGGACACTTTCAGGAAATAAATTTATTTACAAATCAAGACTGGCCCCAGAGCTAATCAACATTTTCCAAGACGAGAATGGCTACACCGTTATTTACGCGTAGCAGTTTTTCGTAAAGATGCGCCATAATTTAAATGCCTTCAGGTTGAACGCGTACTAGCGCGAGTAAACTTCTTACTCTAATAGAATTTCACGACGACTCAAACTCGTCTGAATGAAACTCTAATCATTTACGCGTTTCGAGGCAAACGCGAGTCGAGTCACGGCTCCAGCGTGTCCACGGGGAGTCCTCTGGTCATCAGGCTGCCTGGAGAGCAGGGCAGCAGGGACACCTGGGTGTGAGGAGAACCGCTGTGGCTGAGCGAGCCGCGGTGCTGCCGGCGCCGACTGGGAAGGTGCCGAACGAGCCTCCATCTCCTCCACCTCCTCTTCAGCTCCTGCTGCACCTAAAATATACGCAACGCAAGATAAGCCGCACTTTCTAGACCGACAACTGGTGTGTGCAGGTCTTACCTCTCCGTTCATGAAGCAGTAGAGGACGGCAACCACAAAACCCTTACGGGAGAGAGGTCAAAGATGTGATCAACCTTGTTTTGGTTTGTTCCGAGTCGAGGTGACATTTGTCGTCTTTAAATGCAGTAACTCACCTGTGTGGATGACAGAGCCAGCTCTGCAAACATCCAGATCTTGAACACGGAGCTGCTGACCTCCACGGGCAGAAAAACAAACAGAATGTAGTGCAGACCAAACAGGGCCACCAGGAAGAAGGTGGATTTGATCAGCCTCCTGTTGAAGAAACAGCATTTTCCTCAGAACAGACTTTTCCAAGCTCGAGAATTTATTACGTTAAACGCCAAAAAACCCTCATCTAAATCATACATTCTCATTTCTAAAAACACATCAGTATGATACCGCTTTTAAGAGATCAAGCCAAATCCAAATATTACAATTACTAACACAGGCTGAAAAGTACGAACTTGTACTGGCTGAATTCATTCCTCTGAGCGTCCGGCATTCTGAGCTTGCTCACCAAAATCCTCAAGATTCCCAAGAAAAAGACGAGATTCACCTTCAACAATAAAAAAAAAAAAAGCATTGCTACAGTTTGAACATCTCAAAAGTTAAACAATAATTTAGATATAACTTCTTACACAAATGCTATATATCGTGGTTACTAAGAATTTAAGCTAAGTAAAAGAGCTTTTTACAGTTATTAATGCACAATATATATATATATATATATATATATATATATATATATATATATATATTTCGGCATTGTGGTTGAGATATGTTCATGCTTCTAGTTTATTGAAACACCATTAGTCGAAACAGTGTTCATATTTATTGATGTTTCAGCTGCGGTTATTCGGACACCTGGCAACGTTGCATGTTGAGGACATTTTGCTATCTCAATGTAAAATACCAATAAGACTAATTGATAAAGTTTGTATATTAGAATAAAGTGTAAAGGCCCAAAACACTAGACCTTGACCAACCTTGAATACAGGAAGTAGTTATGAATGTATTTGGCAACATGGCGCCTGATTTTATGCAACAAATTAGCACATGCCAAGCTAACAAACAAAGTTATTTCTGGCAAGCCATCTAAGCCAAACATGACATGTTTAGAGTTACAAACACGCATGAGTAAAATCCGTTAACACGTCACTAAATAAATTCGTAACAGCATTGGGAGCACCAGGACGTTTCCCGGTGGCCTGGCCCGCTCAGTGATCGCCGAGGGGCTGGACCAAAGGCTCAGTTCAGATCGCGCTTGGTTATTTTAAATAAACAATCCATAATTCTCACTCTGGTATCCGCTTCACTGAAGCGCCCTGAGCAGTAGCAATGGGGAAAGACAGACCCCACCCCTTCTTTCTTTTTCTCAGGCTGTCTGTCACAGGAGAGCAGAGATACACAACAGGTTGCGCGCCCACCTGTTGTGTATCTCTGCTGTGACAGACAGCCTGAGAAAGAGAAAGGAGGGGGCACTTCTGTGATCACTGAGTGGGCCAGGCCACCGGGAAGTGGCCCGGTACTCCAGATGGCCAGTCCGCCCCCCCCCAGCGCAATGCTCTGGATGGTCGCCTTCCATCAATCAGCCAGTCTTGTACATTGAAAACCCACGAAAGAGTCTGCAAAAGTCGAACTGCAAAGTATCGAGGGACTATTGTATTTTGTTTAATGTATTGCAAAGTCGGTTACTTAAAAAATTGTAGAGCTTAATGTTGACCAGGATAGTGTGTATTTAGGTGCTCGTGAATAAAATGTTTTGGACAAGCTAAGCTAACTAACTAAAGCATAAATGGCAAGCTAACAAGACATTGGTAGCCTAGTATTTAGTGTCGACAGGGAGTGGGAGCGTGTAGTTCAAGCCTCTTCAGAGAATTTATTTTACAGCAAATCAATTTTAAAAATTTAAATTAAACGTAAGATGTTTTACGCATATGGTTAGAAGAACTGGCACTCGAAGTATCCACCAAATCCATTCATGTCTCCTAGTTTCCCAACAGCTTTGGTAAAAAAGAGAGAGAGACATAATTAAAACATTTGATAGACGTTTTTAAATACAGTGCTGTGCATAAGTCTTGAATCTCTATAATTAAAAAAAAAAGTTTTTGAAGCTGCTTTGCTCAGTTTCTATACAGTATTTTACACTGGTATTTTTCTTTTCTGGTTTAGCTCACAAATTATTCCAGTATAGAAAACCCCTAAACTTCATATATGAACCAGTATAGTGTTGGTATACACAGAAAACTTGGTAAATAACTATTTAGGTTGAATCTTTCGGTACAGTTTTACAGGCGGCTTCTTTAAGACGGTTCTAAGCACTTTGCACTTGTCAAGTACAGAATCTAAACTGGCATGTTTTCCCACTCAATTTCAAGTCCAAAGGAAACGTTCAGGAAGCGTATACAACCACTGCTTAAAACCACTTCAAAAATCACAAAGCAAAGTAAAAAAGATGAGCGGTTTAAAACTTTTGCACAGTACTGCAAATGAACAAGTAAAGCGTTCTTTAGCTCCTTACCCTTCGTCTTCGTAAAAATACTTGGCACATCCCCAGGAGATGATGACAACAAGCGGTAAGCCTGAGTAATGCAAATAAACTGGTTAAATCGACAAAGAGCTGTTGGGGTGTGTTTATATTATATATATATATATATATA